CACAGCAATATCTCACGCAGCCTATGATACACGCAGTCACACATACGTGTCAATTTTCGTACAACGAATTCGTCGCGATAAAGCGTCCAAATCTAATTCTAAGAACTCGACGTTGTATGTTCGTGCAAATTACGTGTTTGGGAACTATTATTTCGTACGTTCGGGTTGCAAGCATATCAAACAAATGTTGTCACGACTTGACAGCTGAGACGCCACGTTACACTAAGAAATGGTAAAAAATATATTAATTTCGAAATTTTTCATCATTCTCAGCGTAGACCCTACTTCACAAACACGTATTAATGCATATACTTTAATCCTGGAAAAGGATTTTCCAATCCGTGAAAGAGAAAAAGAGTATTCGTTATACAAAAATTATACGTGTTTAAGTCGGTAATACAGATCTTTAGGATCCCCTTAAGGGGATGCTAAACCGATTATCCAACTCAATCAAGGTCTATAGTACAGACTTTTTTAATTCCAATTTCGATAATAGTGGCGACATCTTTGATTTAGTTTTTACATTATATTATATAATATATATCATTCTGTCTTACTCAAACGCATACATCTGTTCTTATCTAACATATGCCAGCACCATCTATCGCAAGACCGCGCAACTACTACTACACGGAATTTCGGCTCTGTTGACAGTCCCAGTCTCCGCAAAGCATCTGTATACACGTATTTCCTATTCGGTGGGAATATATCTTTTCTAGACTTTCAATCTTAGTTCTACAAATTCGGTATCGTTCGTTTCAATAATGTGATGTTTGCTGCCCGCTTATTTTCAAGATATGGACTCTAAAACTCTTATATCAAGCAAATATATATCCGAGGTGACAGCTGTGCGAGCCAAAAATAAGTAAATTTTATAATTTTTTTTCGATTTTCTCATAAAATCCAGTGTAGCAAACATCCTCTGTGTGCGTACTATAATTTAAGTAATAATACTTTTGCAATCCGTACATCCAATACGGAGAAATCCCACCGAATAGGAATGTGGTAAAACAGGGGGGCTTTAGCATCGCCTTAAAGGAAAACTGTTAGAATAATCTCCAATACATTTTTGATGAATAGTCCAGTGCATTGGAAGAGGAATATTCTTTTTGTAAAAGTTTCTGCTTAGAATATGAGGTTATACCGGAAATTTCACTTCACAATTAGATTATCTTTTTTTCGGTGTTGATATAATAAAAGCCATTAAAAATATATATTAAGATCTAGCAACAGAATATGTAAAATTCTTTTATCTATCTATCTTCTATCTATTTATCTTCTATCAATTACAGTATATGTTATAACCATCCACAACACAATTCTCCTACTGACCATGTCCATCAAAAAACAGATATTGTGTTCGATGTTCATATAGATCCTT